GACTGAATCTCTAAGGACTTTTCATGAGCCAAGCTCCCATACCTTTCTCTTGTTTGATTATGTCCACACTTTCCTTCCTTGCCTTTGTACTGAAAGCAACAATATTCTTGGAGGCTTTTACTTCCACGGAAATGTTCTGTTTACCTTTGAGTATCACTCACCTTTCTGCACGCGCACACACACACACACACACACACACACACACACCCTCACATACGCACTCACGTACACACACACACACTCACACACGCACACACACATACTTGCACTCACACACACGCACACACACACGCTCACACGCACACTCATGCACTCACACACGCACACTCACACACTCACACACACGCACACACACGGTTGTAAATAGTTCAGGATTTGTAGTGCAAAGGAAGTGAGCATCACATCACTTTTTCTTTCCTTTCATAATATTGCATGGCTCATTCATCATTCTGCCCAATTAGACAAATGAAAGATACCTTTGTTTTGACTCAATCTGCAATTCTTCTCAGGTTCATTACGTGCATGGCAACAAGAAAAAAAAAAAAAAACATGGTACCTCTGGGCCGCATCCGATTTGTCAGGAAATTCCTCCTGCTCTGATGGGTAGGTGGGGAGAAGGCGAGTGATATGATCCAGATGCAGGGGCCGCCCCGCGCCAGCAATGCAGATGTGTTCCATACTCGTATGCCCAGATGGCGACCCCTCTGGCATCGTTAATGGGTCCCAGCTGCCAGGTTTCCTCCTTTGCATGTATGAGACGCGCATATTTCATGTGTTTATTTATGAGGCACAACATTCCTACATTTCATATGTGGCAGTTACTATTAAAAATGAAAAATTTTAACTGCTCTGGAAATTGATAAAGAATCTTTCGAATTGCTGTGAAAGGTGGTCCTGGTTGCAAAACGATTCCTTATACAATTATTGAATTTCTAATACAAATGTCTGGCCTTCCCCCTTTACATGTTGAGAAAATATGGGACTGGGTATACACCTTAAAGATAAGTTAAGAAAATTAAATATTTGCATACATAATATGTTATAATTATGCTTTGTTTTCTTTTTGTTTCTGATCTCCAAAGGCTTATTTTTAAAAGTCTATACATTGAACATTGCTCTTTATTGCTAATTATATCCAGGCATCAAGTTAGAGAAGCTTTGAGTCTTCTAGAAATGGTACATAGTTATGGGTCCACAGGGAGAAACTGGTTTTAGAAAAATATAGTCCAAATGTAACACCAAACTATTGTAGAGTGGTACTCTGTGAATGTGAGGAAATGGGTTAGGCTTGTAAATTTTGCCTTATGATCTAAAGTTTAAAACAGAAAGGCACAGTACTTTCACTAAGTTGAAATGAACTGAACCTTTTGTTAAAAAAAAAAAAGCCTTGAGTGTTTTTACAGGAGAAAGGCAAAAGTGAATCAAACTCTTCAAATAGAGGCAAACTGCCAATGACAGATGATCCGACTGGAAAAGATGGAGCCTATGCCCACTTCCTCCTTCAGTTTCAGACGTAACGAACTTTGAAAGTCAACAACTGGCTAATTTAGGACAGATAACTATCTCCATGTTCAGCAGCAGGAAACAAAATACTGAGGAGATGATTTTTTTGAAGGGACTGCACACTTTTTATTTTCAACAACAGTGGGTGAGAGTTTAGTGCCAAACCAAACTTGGGTACCTAGCATGTGGTTTCAGGTTCTCAAGCAAACTTTTCCGCTTCTTGAAGGTAATCCTGTTTTTCCTGTTTGTGTATATCTCATTCATCTCTATTTTTAACATGAATTGAGAAGGATGGAGGTCTTCCCTCAGCTGGTTCTTTCTCCAAATTGATGCAACAGCCAGGTCTGTGCCAGGCCAAAGCCAGATCAAGGAATTCCATCTTGATCTCCCACACGGTTGATAGGGGGCCACACACTTGATCCATATTCTGTAGGCCTGTTGAGGTCTTTAGCTGGTAGCTGGATTAGCAGCAAAGCAGTCGGGACTCAAACCTGCACTCGAATATGTGATGACATGACCGCATGGGGCAGCTTCACCCACTCCACCACCACAGCAGCAGCCCCTCAGTTTCATAACTAGAGGTCAGACTAGTTACATTGACTACACTCACAAAATAGGATGGAAAATTAAAGCAATTCTCTTATTCAGGCAAGAGTAAAGAATATTTACTTTTCTCTGAAAGTATTCCCTAAACTATTGAAAGTACGTTCTAGGATATTTAGTTCCTGCACTCTCCAGATATCTCTGTCAGTCTGGCTCCAAATGCTTCCATTCAAACATTTGTGCTTCAAACACCTGCTCACTGAAAAAAAGGATTACCAGCAATTCCAAAAAGAATTCATGGCAATGGAGCAATCAAGACAGAATGGGGGATCTGGGAAATGCTTTCCCATCTGACAAATACTTGGGATTTCAGACTTGTGTTGTTATCAACAAAGACCTTATTACAGAAGCCAAATATGTGACCCTGCGCTCTTCCTACTGAGTCTTGCCTTCTCACCATGCACATTAAGAAGTGGAAGAAAGGGGCTGGCGCCATGATGTAGTAGACTGGGCCTCATTGGCTCCTGACTGCTCCACTTCCCATCCAGCTCCCTGCTTGCGGCCTGGAAAAGCAGTTGAGGACAGCCCAAGGCCTTGGGACCCTGCACCTGCATGGGAGACCTGCAAGAAGCTCCTGGCTTTAGATCAGCTCAGCTCTGGCCATTGCAACCATTTGGGGAGTGAATCAGCAGATGGAAGACCTGTGTGTGTGCATGTGTGTGTGTGTGTGTGTGTGTGTGTTTGTGTGTGTGTGTGTGTCTGTGTGTCCTTTCTTTGTAAACCTGCCATCCAAACCAAATAAAAATAAATAAATCTTTAAATTATTCTTTAAAAATTAAATAACTGATGGGGATTTTTTTTTTCATGTGCTCAGGATGATAAAATATGGTACAACTAGCAGGTGTAATGAATTGATCATGAGGCACTTTACCAGGAAGCCAAGATCCAGGCTCCACATCCTGAACAGGGCACATTGAAGGCCACCAAAAATAAAGCAACATGCTCACTTTAGACAAAACCAGTTTGCCATCCCCCTTCTATCCATTCCTGGAGGTGATAGGTGGTTAGTTTGAGTGTGATCAGGAAGACCAAGGGGCTCCACTAACTGTGCAAACCTCCCCAAGAAAGGTGAACAGCTGTCTCAGGCTGGCTCTGAGGAGTAGCAGGTGCTTCACTCCAGGAACCACATCCAGTCAGTGACCCCTTACAACACATAGTTTCATCTGTCATGCTCTGTGACCTGTAAGATCAGGGCCAGCCAGGTTAAAGGACCCTCTGACAGCTACCTGGACTTGGGTCAGGGCTACGTAGAAACCCAGAGGGGTTATGCAGAGGAACAGGAAATAATATGATCCACAGTCCCTACCATGGGATGCCTAGAACAGGACTTAGTGACTAAAGCAGAGAAAGATGGTGCATTGCAGACCCAAATGCCGGAGTCCAGCTCCAGCTGAGTTCGGAACTCGCGAAGGGTGCGTGGATGAGGTGTAAAGAGGAAAGAAAAAGATGGACCACTAGGATTTCATGATCATAATGGACAATGCGGGAAAGCTGTCCGCTTTATTTATACAAAATCAGTCAAACTCTGGCTCAGACTTTTTACGTCACAGTCAAGTGGGTGTTTCTAAAGATAACTCTGCCATAGTGTTACTTAGAAGTTCCTGCTGCCAGTACCTAGAAGTTCCTGCTACGATTCTTATCCTACAACTCAATCTTGTATCACAAAGAAAAGGGGAATCTAAAGAATGAGGAAAGAATGAAAGCCTAAATCTAGATCCCTTGATTAGCACAGGCTCAATGGGGACAGCCAAGACAGTAGGAATGATAAAGGGCCCCATTTGCAAGACACTGACCTCCAAGCTCAGGCTGAGCAAAAGGTTAACCTCACAGTAGCAAATGCCAGGATGGATTAGAATTCTTCCGCAGGGTGGTCCAGTGTCCATGCAAAAGAAGGTGGAGCTGCATTCAGGTGGTTGTAGAGACATCCGCCGGGTGGGCCCTGCCAAACAGCGGGAAATTCCTTGCGGCCCTGGCTGCAATGGAACACTCTTCACCCCTTCATGTCCCCCACATCTACTGCACGGACCCCAACACCCAAAGTCAGGGGCAAGGTGCTCCAGGCTGAGTTGAGGGTGTACCCTGCAGAGTGCGTGGGGAGAGCAAGTAGACCAGGTCCCAGGAGCTTCTCTGAGACCTGCCCGCCACTTCCTCCTTTACCCCACTGTGCCTCCTTCACACAGGGACATGGAAGTCCCAACGGCCCTGAGCTCTGTGTAGTGCAGCTGGGTTTCTGGAGGCTTTCCTATTCTAGCTATCAGCACAATACCCTCCATCTTACGAGTCAGTGAGGTGCACTTGTCCAAAGCTGTCAACATTCCAAATGCCTTTCATCTTGGTCAGATAAAAGGAGGGGGCAAAGATACAATTTGGATTTTTACTCCTTTGAATTTTCAGCTTAACATGCCAGTTCTCTCCACAACTGTACCTGTCCATTTGGATGGTGTCCAGTTGCAGGCCGTACAAGTCAGATGGTGCAGACTTTGATGGTGAAGGACCTCTGAATCTGTAGTAGTGGAGATGCTGGAATGGGGGGGTTGACAAAGCACTAGGGCACCACTTGGGATGTCTACATGCCACCCATATTGGGGGGTCTGACTGCCAGTCACAGCTCCTCTACTTCCAATACAGCTGCCTACTAATATGCACCTTAGATGGCAGCAGATGGCAGCTTCCGATGCTGGGCTTCCTGTCACCCACATGGGAGACCCACAGAGAGTTCTGGACTCCTGGTTCTAGCTTGGCACAGTCTTGACTGTGGTGGGATGTTAGGGGGTAAATCAGTGGATGGGAGATTCTCTGCCATTCACATTAAATGAAAAGATAAATAAGTAAAAATAACAGAAGCACCATTCAGGAACAGTCATTAAAAGACTTCCTGTCCCTTTCTCTGACAGCTCGTGACCTTGTTTCAGATGTGGGTGGTCCCCGTGTATTTCACAATCAAACTCTATTGGTGGCGTTTTCTCTCTCTGTGGGGCGTGTTCTCCGTCATCACCAGCTACATCCTCTTCAGAGCTACCCGAAAACCTCTCTCGGGGAGAACCCCCAGGTATGGATTCCAGTCCTTCCTTCCCCTCATTCCCGTTATTTGAAACATTGAAAAGTATATTTGATTTCCATTTCTGTGGGGAGGGTTTGGGGGTGTTGTACTTTCTTTACTATGGGGGAAATTATGTGGAGATCAACTGGACAGCTGTTGGTCACCACTTGTAATTTAATGGCAATGTAGACACATCTGTAGAATTTATTCCTGCAGGTACCAACTGGTTAAAGGCATGCAGAAGAGAAGTGAAACTATCATTTAGAATTTCTAGAGCCCTATTTGCATGTTTATTATTAGCACAGAATTTTATTCACCCTCTGAGTTGTGCCATCCATATTTTAAGATAGAGCAAGAGTTGAAAGCTTGTTTCAGCTCACCAATATCTAATAAATTGTCAAGTAAAGGACAACTTATTGCTCTCATAATTGTTGAGGCTTTCCTGTCCTAATGATCACATTAATCACCTGACAATGTCTTGAGGTTGTCCATCACAAATCGACTCAAAGTACATCTCATCTCGTAACATGCCAACTATTGCTGTCCTTGTTCCAGGGGCTGGATCCCAAGCCCCATCGCGATCAACAGAAAGGAGAGGAAGCGTGTAAGACAGCAATATGACAATTTCAAACATTGATTGCTTTAGAGAACAAGCCATGAACTTCTATGAAATTCTTTTATGATTATCCAGCCATTTTCTCCTAGATTTTAAAATCTTATTTTGAAAGGCAGGGGGCAGGCAGTGGAAGAGAGAAATCTTCTATCTACTGGTTCACTCCCTAAATTGTTACAATTGCCAGTACTGGGCCGGGCTGAAGCCAAGAGCTTGGAACTTCCCTCTGTGTCCTCCACGTGAGAGACATGGGCACGGGGCACAATGTGTGAGTTATGTCGGATTGGGAAGGGTAGCTTGTTTTGGGCACATCTCAATGCTCTTTTTGCTATCCCTGGATGTATTCCTATGAGAATGGCTCCTTTCTACCACCAGTGGCTGATGCTAGCTGACTACAGCTGGACTGCACACACCAGCTTGCTCTGGGCAGTGGAACAGCGTTATAAGAAACCCCCCCACACTGCCTCTTTACCTTCCATGGCTGACTATCTCTGGAGGCTGTGGTGCCTTCTGTCTCACGCCTCCCACCCAGCCACCTCAGCTTCTCCCCACCCACACAGCCCTGAGCCCTCCAAGATGCTCTCAAAGCCAAGTGGCTCAGCTGAGAGCGTCACACACACTCCACTGCTGGCACAGTTAATGGGGCCTCTAGAAAAGCAATCATAATGCAAGGACTGGAGACCAGAACGCCCCAGGAACTTCATTGAATCTTTGCTTTATCATCATATTCTATATGAGTTGTGTCTTTGCAGTCTCCCATTTGGAAACAGAGAATTTCATTTCAGGCTAGGAATGTTGGACATCAACACAGAAGACAAGTCCCAGAGAGGGGTCTCTGCCACCAACAACTCCATTGAAAGCCCAGTTGTGGGGGCAGGCATTTGCACAGCAGTTAAGATGTTGTTTGGTTTGCCCATAACCCATATTGTGGCTCTGCTTCCAATTCCAGCTTCCTGCGAACACATAACCAGGGGGGCAGCAGGTGGTTTCTCAAGTGCTTGAGTCCCTGCCACTCACTGAGAGACCAAGATTAAACTTCTGGCTCCTGACTTCAGCCTGGCCCAGACCTTGCTTTTGCAATCATTTGGAGTTGGAACCAGGAGGTACAAGGCCTCCATCTGTTTAGTTTTCAAAATAAAATGAAAATAAATAATGAAAAAAGAACAACTAATCTTTCCATTGGTGGGAGTCCATGCTGTGGGACAGAGAAGGGGAAGTGAATTTCCTCTCACTACAGTTGGGTTGGCTGCAAGTAATGAAGTTCAGGTTCAAGGAAACAGGCCACACGCTGGCCACAAAGAGCTGGGCTTGACCCAGATCAGTTCAACCAAGGCCAAGTTCTCTCCTCGGAAGCTTCTCTGAAGGAGAAGTGCAATTCTGTGTCTTGCTCATATGCCTTCCAGTGTATACCTGAGGAGCAAGGAAGTTCATAGACTAAGACATGGAAATTCTAACACGTCCATAAGAGTGATGCGACACATTAAACACTGAATGTGCCAACTCTCTTAAGCATCACTGCATTCTCTCACATCATCTCTAGAACAACTTGAGTTGCTGGTGCCATCACCTTCATGTCATAAATGAGACAATTGCAGGAAAGAGTGCCAAGGAAGCTGCCTGAGGTCCCATAGGCACAGTCCAGAATTTCAGTCTGAGAGGAGTAGGCTGTAATGCTGTGGTGGCTTCCTTAAATCAACAGACCACTTTGCACAGGGAAGACATACGGTTTCAAAAGTTGTTAGCACTGAGACATCTCCAGGGCTGAGAGGTGCCCTTCAAGGCGGTATACTGAGTACTGAGATCAAGGCGGTACACTGAGTACTGAGATCAAATCATGCACACTCCGGTGCTGGCTGGTGTTGGAGATCCGGGCATGGAAACCTGCTCATGACTTGCCTCTTTCCCCATCATCTCCCCCTTTCAGGAGCAGACGTTTCCACTCGGATCTGGCTGCACTGGGCAGTGATCCAAACTGCTGGGCACTGGCCAATGGGGAAATCTGATAGCTCAAGAGTCAGTGGAGCAGAAGAGCCCTCTCTAGCCCCCTTTACAAGTGACACAACCTCATGGTCACTTAAGCCATTTTAGGTACCCACACAGGTGTCTGACTATGCATAGCCAACAGGGGTGCAACGTACCTGTGTGGAGCAGGTGCTAGCCACGAGACTCTTGTTTGTCAGTTTGCTTTGAGAGGAGAAAGAATCTCCCCCATAGAAATGACAAAAATGACTGCTCATTTCTCAGGCTACCCAGAAACTCTCCCCTCCATTCCAAAATTACAAGGCCCCTTATGGCGGGAACTCCATAAAATAGAGCATCTTTTCGAATAACATTAAAGGGTGGGCATTTAACACGGACATCAAGGTGTCTCTTGAGACTCACATTCCATGAATGGGGGGGCCTTGGTTTGAGTGCTGGCTCTGCTTCAGGTTCCAAATTCCTGCTAATGCACACCCTGAGAAGCAGCAGGTAAAGGCTCAGGTGTTTGTGTCCCTGCCACTCATGTGGGAGACCCGGTTACAGTTCCAGGCTCCCAGATCAGCATGGCTTAGTCCTGGATGTTGCAGACATTTGGGAAATAAGCCAGTGGATGGAAAAATTTCTCTCTCTCTCTCTCTGTTTCTCTCTGTTTCAAGGAAATTTTGTAAAGTCTAAAATGAGACAGTACTGAAGTATTGCATCAGTAATGCCACAGAACTAAAGCTCTGTGTGTACTGGCCCTAACAGGGAGCAAGCTGGGGAAGGCGAGAGGGCAGGACAGAGCTCAGAGAGTGAGGATAGGAGGCTGGAGGCAAATTTCTGCGGTGAGAGTCTGAGAGTAAGTTGGGTTGACAGGTAAGAGATGAGGTTTCAAGAGGATATGAGAGGAATGGTCAAGGGGAAAATGGAGCCTCATGCTGTGTTGAGCTCTTGCTCCAGCTTCTTCTCCACCACCTCCTGCTCCTATGGGCTTCTCATGTGGCCCTGCCAGAAATGGAACTAAACATCCCCCTCCTCTTCTCGCATCCTCACAGCAGTGAAACAGCCACATGGGCCCTTCTGCAGTTTGTCTAGGGGCCTTGGTTGCCAGTGAAGGAGGAAGCAAGCAGGATAAAGAAAGGGGCTCCTTCTGGATCCTCTCCACTCCCACCTCCCAACCTCATCTCCACTGAGACACTGCAAGTGCTGGGTTTCACAAAGAACCCATCCATCCAGCACAAGGAAATGAGCCTCCTCCCTAGGGCCAGGAAGAGGTATTTTATGGGTAGCAAGGAGCTGGGCCAAGGGCTGGGTCCTGAGAGGTGATAACCATGCTGGGGAGGGGCAGCCTAGCAGAAGGGAAGAGGGACTCCTAGTGGGGACCTCGAGTTGTCTTCTCCTCACTTTTTATCTTTTGCTTGTCTACAAGGCACTCCTGCTGAAGTCACTGTAGGTTAACCCAAGGTCCTGGAGGTAATACCCCAGGGAGAGTAATCAGTCCTGGAGGCCATTTTTACAGGGAAGCCTAGATCAAATACACATGTAAACATGACCATGATACTCAGTGTTATCTCATTTGTTGCCATTGTGTCCAACCTTGAGGTTATTCTTGAGTTTAACTCACAAGTGTATGCAGTTCAGTATGGTGGGTATGGGAATGAAACAACAGAAACACAAGCTTTGTTTGTATCAGTGGTAACAATGACGCCATTCTCACAGCACTCTTTGTTTCTCCCCAACTTTCACTCCACAGATTGGTTTACAAATGGTTTCTTCTAATCTACAAGCTCACCTATGCCTTTGGGGTTGTGGGTTATTTGGCTATTATGTTTACAATGTGTGGATTCAATTTCTTTTTCAAGTAAGTATGTTCCATTAAGTTATTCGTGTCTTTATGCACTTACTTGCTGGGAACACTCACCTGGTCCCCTCACCTCATTTCTCTATCTGGAAGTATCCAACCCTCTAACTCTCTATATGTCAGGTTTTTAAAAGCAGCTATCCACACGCTCACCATTGGAGAAAATCAGCAGAAAATTAAGAGAGGAGCATCCTGCAGAATAAGTGTATAATTTAGAAGCTACAAAGAGAATCTCTACTTGACCCTACTTTAAATGTCGCCAGTGAAAGCAAACCTATCATTGTGAGGCCATAATTCTTACTGGACTTCAAATTTCCCTTCCACAAAATTATGCAGGTTCCAAACAGTCTGTGTATCTTTTTTTCTTAAAATTTCTAGAGCTATAATTTCCAAGCAGCTTTCAGCTCCTTGCGACTCCTGAGACTTAAAAGATGAAATAAGTGCAAAATACACATAGCATTTTAAATACAGTTTGAAAAGCATTTCATATTGATAACGTCAGGAAATGATAGTATTTTATAGGAAATGATGAGTGTTTCATCTGTTCAATTCTACTTTTCTAAAGTAACTAGAAGAATATGTAAAATCGTGATTCAGTGTCATGGGTTGGTTCTGAGAAATGCATGATGAAACAATCTCATCATTGTGATAAACATCACAATGTGGACACTAGCAAACCAAGAGGGCTACGACGCCACTAGGCAGTATGATCTTCAGGGACCACCATCTTACACGCAGTGTCACACGGACAGGGACATCGCTGTGCGCTGCATCACCAAGTATTTGTGGCTACACCTCCATTGGAAGTATTCCTTCCTAGAATGTTATTTCTGGTTTCCATGAAAACCCTTTTTGTTGGGGACAGACAGAATAGGCGAGAACTAAGAACAGGGACTTGTGGGGGACGGGTAGTTGCTGAAAGATAATTAATAGGGTAGCAATTCAAAAAGTCTTGGGAAGACAAACAGAAACTGGGGAACTCGTACCTGTGTCCCAGAATGTGCTCCTGTCCAGGGGGAGTGTGCAAAAACCTGTTGTGAATGTGAGTCGCAGAGCAGAGCCTGGAGAAGCTGCCCAGGGTTCTGGCCACAGGGCACACAACTACCAAAAAAAACAGCTCCAAGAACAATCTCCCAGGTCTCCTCCACTGAAGCTCCTCTGGATCTTTGGGAACATAACAAAATAGAAGAACAAATCAGCAGCAATGGACTTGGAAGCTAAGGAAGGTGAGCAGATGCAGAAGTAGCCTTGGGAGAGGGAATTCCTCCTGTTTTCTAGTAGGAAAAGCATAGGTCATTGGACAGATCTACTATCGCAAGTTTAAAAGACACTATTCATGTCTTTTTAAAACTTTATTTTTATTGAAAAGTCACATTTACAGAAAGAAGGAGAGACAGACAGAAAGATCTTCCATCTGCTGATTCACTCCCCAAGTGGCCACAATGGCCAGAACTGAGTCGATCCAAAACGAAGAGCCAGGAGCTTCTTCTGGGTCTCCGATGTGGGTGCAGGGTCCCAAGGTTCTGGGCTCTCCTCGACTGCTTTCCCAGGTCACAAGCAGCGAGCTGGATGGAAAATGGAACAGCTAGGATTAGAACCAGTGCCCATATGGGATACTGGCATGTGCAAGGTGAGGGCTTTAGCCACTAGGCTATCACACTTGGCCCTGTTCATGTCTCTATAGCATCTGTTTATCATACCTTATTTACACGGGTGTAGGTAGCTATAAAATGTTAACAAAATCACTTGGGACTATAGTTTTCCAAGACTATTACCTGACAAGGATTTAACAGCCTTATCCATGAATTCTACCAGGAGGCGTATCAAGAACACCACCCCCAGGCTAAGCAGGAACTATTTCTTACTCCTCGTTGTTGTCACTGTATTACAGTTCTTTCCTATAGAGCCACAAGTGTGTCACTGTGCTGTTCTTTAGTAGATTAGGAACATACACTGCCCTAGACCTGGAGGGAACAGTAATCTTCAGCCCCCACTGTCCTAATTCTCAAAAATATGCAGGAACATGTTAGTATCCCCTGTTGTTGATTCCAAAGATTCCATATCTTCTAAGTCTATAAAGCTGTCTGCCTTCACCACTTCCTCCTCAGATTAACAGCACAAAAATAAGCTGCACAATTATAAGAGGAAGGCTCCAGAGATGGGATATTCCACTCTTCTCACACCCTCCTCCTTGCCCCCAAAATGGTCAAACTCAGCACACCAATGCTGGTTTCTAAGACTCTCTGACAAATACCATAACCAACCAAATGACTGAGAATCAGTTCTGACTTTGTAGAGGTCCTAACATAAGGCAAAGCATTGTCACAAACTTGCAAATCATTCCTCCATGAAAACATGACAGTGGTGGCAAGGTGACCTCAAATTTGAGCTTTCATTCCTGGTTTGGATTTGTGCAAATTGTATAACACTCCATGTTTTTACATGCAAAAGTCAGGGGATGATGATCTCCATGTCAAATATTTCTTAGGTAGGATCAAATATTTAAAGCATGCTGGGGACCTGGCATGGTGGCCTAAAGTCCTCACCTTGCACACACTGGGATTCCATATGGGCACCGGTTCTAATCCCAGTGGCCCCGTTTCCCATCTAGCTCCTTGCTTGTGGCCTGGGAAAGCAGTCAAGGATGGCCCAGAGCCTTGGTACCCTGCACCCAGAGCCAGGCTCTAGGCTCCTGGCTTTGGAACGGCTCAGATCTGGCTGTGGCGATCACTTATGGAGCGAATCATTGGACTGAAGATCTTTCTCGCTGTCTCTCCTCCTCTGTATATCTGACTTTGCAATAAAACAAATAAATTGTTAAAAGCATGCTGGACAATTGAAGCAGAGTGTCCAGTCACTTCTGATGAGAAGTGGACGCACCTGACAAAAACACCTCCTAGATCAAGCATTTAAGTCTTCCCAGGCAATTGTACTCTATGCTTGTTAAGGCTGGGAAGCACTGCCCCGGTGGTTCTGAATGTTAGCTGCCCGGTAGGGTTATCTGGGGTCAGGGATGCTTCAAAATTGCTGGCTATCCAGCTATCCAGGTCCCTTTACTACAGCCACTGACATCATCATGATGGGTGTGGCCTGGAGATGGGGATTTTTACAAGCTGCCCACATCTTTCTGTGTGCAACCAACCTTGAAACCGCTGCTTGAGATCAGCTTATCTAAGCACTGCTGTCCTGAGAGGGATTCAGAGACTCCAGTAGCCTTTCCTGGCCCCAGTTCTGCTTTCTGCAGCTTTAGTTACTCATGGTCAACCATCCAAAACTACAAAATGGAAAATTCCAGAAATAGTAAGTCTCACATGATGCACCGTTGTGAGTAATGCATTACAATCTGGTACTGTCCTGCCCTATCCCGACAGGACATGAGCCATCTTCCTTGCCAGCGTATCCACACTGTATACACTGCCTGCCTGTAAACAGCCATCTCTCTTCCCAGACTGACTTCACGTCAGTGCAGTGTCTATGTTCAAGCAACCCTTACTTTACTTAATATAGACCCTAAAATGCAAGCTTGTATTGCAGTATGTTCTTGTAATTGTTCTCTTTCTGTTACTATTATTAAAATTTCACTTTGCCTAGGTTCTACTTAAGCTGTTTCATAAGGATGTATGCATAGGAACAAGCATGACACATGTAAGGTTTGGTACTATCCCCAGTTTCAGGCATCCACTGGAGGTTTTAGTGTGCATCCTTCACATGTAAGAGCAGAGCACTGAATAATTCCCCTGCCAACTGACATTGAATGGTGCCATTTGAGGAAACTGGAGAATTTCTCATTCTTCCATATGAGACAACAAAAAAAAAAAAACTAAATAAAAAATGGGGACAATGTTGACAGACTCTGCTGACACAGTGGCAGGGTGTATTCTGCAAACTCCAGCCTTCCTCTGCCTCCTGAATGCCAGCTGCTTATTTTCTTATGCTGTTGTTTTCAACAGAATCAAAGCTAGAGATTCTATGGACTTCGGCATTGTGGCCTTGTTCTACGGCCTCTACTACGGAGTAATGGGGAGAGACTTTGCTGAGATCTGCTCGGATTACATGGCCTCCACTATTGGGGTGAGTGCTATTATTCTCTGGTGTTGCATACAACACAAGATCTGGTTTCCTCTCACATACTTGCTTTCATTTTCAGACATAGTTAAATCTGTCTCCAGGCATTGATGATTGTTCTCTTCAGTCCTGTCTTGGTCCTTCCAACCTAGTAAGACCCTGGATTCTTCTTGTATCAAAAATGTTCTTGGTAACTAATGGAAGATACATTTCTTCTATGGAATAGTTGAGGTTGGGAGTGAGGCATCCTTATAAATAAAATATGTTACTACTTATCTGGGTCATCAGAGCTAGCATATTCTAACTTCCAACATTTAAAAGATTAATCAAAGGCCAATCAGAACAAAGCCCCTCTATTTCTTCCAAAAATTCTGCCTAATGGAAATATAAGTCCTACCCAGTGCTACTTAAACACTCCAGAATCAACAGTGCACAGGGTATAGTTTTCATGAAAATTGGTTCTCATAGGTAGCATCTAAAAGAGCAGGAAATATAAAAAGTATGCTAAATGGACTGTGTGTACTGTGTCTGGCCTTTTATAAAAGAAAATTAAAAATTGTGTGATTTTTAAAGCAGTTTGAAAATTAAAGTTAACACTAGACATATCCTTTCAGTGAGATGGATTCCAGATATATCTATATATCTATATATCTATATATCTATAGATAGAAAGATATCTAGATATAGATAGATATATAGATATAGAGATAGATAGAGATAGATATCTAGATAGATACAAATATAGATCGATACAGATAGATCTATAGAGACAGATATCTACATAGATATCTATAGAAGATAGATAGATATATATAGATAGATATAGATATCTAGATAGATAGATAGATAGATAGATAGATAGATAGAGAACATTCATCTGTGGCATTACAACCAAGGTCTCCAGGAACGATGAACCCATCCACTTTAGGAATTCAGCCTCCTGTCCTCTACCTGCATCTTGGTGCACCCTCAAATAGGAAGTAGAGAAACAGGTACAAAGAGCAAGGGAAGAGTGAACTTCCTCTCTCCATTCCTGGAGCAGGGCAGGCATGACCTTGACTTCATCATTCTTTCCTTCCATCACAGGCTCTGTGAATACTCTTGTCCTTCTGCCTTTGGCATGCCCTTGCTATGTTTCATCCAAGGGGACAACTGCTTTTCTTATAAGGTTTAAGACTCTCCTAGGTAGGAACTCTACTACTCCAACTAGAACCAGACGACATGTACTCTAGACAATCTCCAAAGCTTTGTTCTTTCTTCTGAACAGCAGCAAAAGAGAAGGGTTGAATGTGTCCTCTTCTCCAGTGGAGACTGCCTCTAGTTGAGGCAGTTGACTCTTTCAGCACCAACTCCCTGCAGACTTCCCACCTCATCCCACCCCACCAGTCAGAAACATCTTGTCACTCTCTGTCATCATTATGCCAGCTACCAATCTATAGAAATCACATTGGCTTAGCCACCAGTGACTTACACTAATAGAATGAGTGTGTATCTATACTCAGACCTGTGTGCACACATGTACATGTGCTTGTTATTGAGGTTAGAAAGTAGCAAAAAGCAACCTCTATCCCCATGCCAGTCCCTAAGTCTACACACCAGGAGTGGGGCTATGTAGACAAAACCAAACACCCTGGAAAAAGGAATGAGCTACTGGACCATCCAAAACCATTGACGAATCTTACATGCATATTGCTGAGTGAATAGAACCAGTCCAAAAAGGCCTCCTTCTACATGATTCCCTTTAGGTGATGTTTGGAAAAGTACAACTGTAGAGCATGTTAATGTGACCGGTGGTTACCAGGAGGTTAGAGAATGAGCAGGGTCGGCCAGGTGAAGCACAAGAAGTTTTTGATGGTGGAGAAACTGTTCTGCATAGTCCTTCCATGGAGGATCCCTGGCACAACATGCATTTGTCCAAATCTGTGGAATTTGGCAGTTGAAAGGCTGAACCTTAATAGATGTGAACTGTGAAGACCCTTAGCAAGTCAGAAAATCTTAGGCTAACATGTGAACAGTAGGGGAATGAAAGACTCTTACTGTATCACATATGTGTGAAATAATCTCACTGGTGGAGGTTGGGGAGGAGGACAGGAATAGATTGGGCAGGAGATGTTGACCTCCATAACTAGAAATGAGTGATGACTACAAATCTAAAAGTACAGTGAACCAGACATAAACGTTGTACTCTAGGTAATGCAGTTGTTGTCCTCAGTAGATGTGTATCCCAAAATTGAACAGCTATGTCAGTGGATGACTGATAGTGGAAGCTGCGTTTCTCACTGAGTGGGAGATGACAGACAGGCTAGAAGGATATACACAATAATGGGGTAACATTGGAGACGGGCCAACACTGTGGCATAGCAGGTGCCTGCAGTGCCAGTGTCCCATAAGGGTGCTGGTTCAAGTCCCAACTGCTCCACTTCCCATCCAGCTCCCTGCTTGTGGTCTGGGGAAGCAGCGGAGGATGGCTCAGGTCCTTGGGCCCCAGCACCCACGTGGAAGACCTGGAGGAAGCTCCTGGCTCTGCTCTGGTTCTCTGGTTCTGGCTCTATCTCTCTGTAGATTTGCCTTTCAACAAGATAAATAAATCTTTTTTAAATTCCCATTTAATTCCTCTTATCTAATTCCTATTTTTAAAATATGTATATGCAAATAAATACATGTAGCATATGTATCCACCTGTATCATTACACACAGATATATTTCCTCAGCTAGCGGTCCCTGGACCAGGGACACCCAATTGCCATAAGCACATTCAGCATCCAAATCCTATTTTCCAATAAAATAAACCAGAGCTTCTTGAAGAAATGGCTGGTTAGAGATCTGGGCAAGAAATTTCCACTTTCATCTTAGAGAATCACAGTCAGAAAGTAACAAAGTGCCAAAAGCAAAAGAAAGGACCCAACACTGAGAGGATGTGTCAAACAGACATGGAAACAAACCAAAAGATCTCCAATGGCCAGAGCTGCAACTGGAGCAACAGAACAGTAGTAGCAATAGTATAGGGTTAGAAGCCAAAGCATTCAATAGCTTTGAGTCCACAATGATACAGACAAATCGTTCAATAAACAAAGAGATGGAGGTGAATAGACAAGTATGTGCAGATACGGGTCCATAATCTGAGTTGTTACATTTTGGGTCAACTTGCCTAGGCTACACTTTCCATTTATTTGGTCAACCACTGCTCAAAATATTGCTGTGAAGATATTTTATAGATATGCCTGACATCCACAGCCAACTGATTTTTTCCTCTTTTTTTTTTTGTCAATTTTATATATTTTAAAGGCAAAGAGGTGCCAAAAGCTTCCCATCACAGGATCCTTCCCAGATGCCTTCACTGGCAGGACCTTCATTGGGCCCCAGGGCCCAAACAGGGAACTGAGAATTCAACTGAAATCTCCTGTGTGGGTGGGTGGCAGGAGCCCAGCTATTGGACCCATCACTGCTGCCTCCAAGCACCTATCTTAGCAGAAATGTGGAGTCAGGAGTTAGAGTTGGGAAGCAAAGTCAGGTACCACTGAAGTGGGATTCAAGCACTTTATCCGCTAGGCTATCCATCCACTTCCAAACATTCAGATTTAAATAATGGAAAATACCTTTAGCCAATCAGAGGCCTTAGAAGAAAATGCTGGTGCTTCCTAGAAAAGGGATTTTGCTTAAAGACTGCATCGTCAGGTCTTGCCAGCTTGCAGCCTGCTGACTAGCACTACTAATTTCTGACTTGACAGCCCCCACAACACATGAGCCAATTCCTTAAAACAAACTCAGTAATAATGATACTAATAGATAAAACTAGCTTTGGCCATTCTCTGTGCTGTCCTTACATCTTTTTTTTTTTAATTATTTATTTGAAAGGCAGAGCTACTGAGAATAAAGGAGAAACAGTGACGGGGGAGGGGAAGAGATCCTCTATCTCTTAATTCACTCTCCAAATGGCTACAATGACCCGGCTGGGCCAGACCAAATCCAGGAGCCTGAAACCCCATCCAGGTCTGCCATGGGACAGGAGAGGGGAAGGGCGCAAGCATATTAGCAAGGAGCTGGATTGGAAGTGGAGCTCAAACCTAGCATTCCTGTGTGATGCCAGCATGGCTGGTGCTCTTTCACACTTGCTAGCCTTCATTTATATTTTTTAAACTATTACAAAATGAACACTTTTTTTAAAGAAAGCTTCATCAGGAGCCTAATAGCACTAGAAGATACAGATGCCCCCAAGTTTCAGGACATTGTCTTCTAACAGTCTGGGTGTTCCCATCAAGAATGTGGGAATTAGAAAAGAAATTGTGGCCATCCTTGTGGTGCAGTGAGTTTGCCCACTGTCTATAATACCAGCATCCCACATGAGGACCAGTTTGAGTCCTGACTGCTCCTCTTCCAGTCCAGCTCCCTGCTAATGCACCTGGGAAAGCAGTGGAACATAGCCTCCAGGTGTTTGGACCTTTTCCACCCGCATGGGAGACCTGGATGATATTCCAGGCTCCTGGCTTCACTTTAGTCCAAACCCTCTTGCAGACATTTGGAGAGTGAAGCAGAAAACGTAGTCTCTCTCTCTCTCTCTCTCACTTTCTCAATCTCTCTGCCTTTTGGACAAATGAATCTTTCAGTGAAACAAACAAAAAAGAAAACACTGACTCCTGGGTTGACTCCAGATGGCTGACTCAGAATCTCCAGGAGAGGAAGGGGAAGGGTGACTCAATGGGCAGACATATGTAACTCCGCACTACAACCCCAAATTAAAACAATCCCTGTTTTCCAAAGGAGCCCTAAATGTGGAGCGTGGATTAGATGTTATAATTAGCAACGTGCTTTGCATCCACTTGGGATTCAGCGGGCTATAGCCTGAAAATCTCCACCCTATGCTAGCACTGTTGCTACAGAAAATGGATTCAAGGTCTGAACCTGCTTAGAAACAGTGAGGGTTCAGAGAGCCAGGGGCTGCCCACCGCAGGACCAGACATTGGCTTCCCTATCTGGGTATGATGAGTTGTCTCCTTTCCACCAATGCTCTGCTGTTTCCCGTCCCCCAAACCCCCACCAAAGTTCTACAGCATCAGCGGGATGCCCACAAGGAGCCTGTCGGATAATATCTGTGCCGTCTGTGGGCAGGAAATCATTGTAGAGCTTGATGAAGAAGGACTCATTGAAAATACCTACCAGCTTTCATGTCATCATGTGTATCCTTTGTAAGGGAAATGAATCCACTTTCCTCATACCTCCTCCTTCCCTTGCTGCCTTCCTCCTGTCCACAGCTTCCATCCTTGCATCCCAGACTTTCATCCCCCAGCCCAGTCTTGCTTTTTGAGACTTTCTGATCATCCCTGCTAACTAATGAACTGGGGTGAGCTGCCTCCTCCTCCTCCAGTGGTTTCCTTTTAACAGAGAACTCACATTGCATGAGAGAAGAAGGTGACACCTTAGCAGGGCTGTGAGCTGGAGAAGCTGGGGCGAGCCATCAGGGAGCAAGCAGCCAAGGTGAACCAGCAGAGATCTTTGCGAGTAAGAAGAGTGAAGTATAAGGTTCAGGAGGAACTCAAGGCTATCCAGATGGAGCTGATGTTCGAACCTCAGTAGCCCAGAAATAACCCCTGGGAACGGACTGTCCTGGGGGCACCCCAGGAAGGACACCAGCCTTGGTCTTCAAAACAGGCTGCATAGGGAGTAGAGCTCCTTGTACAATGAGGAGCAGCCCACGTTTCAGCATCTGATTTCGGGGTCACATGACTCTTCTATCTATGCGTTCTAACTCAAAGGGCCATGTGTTAATTAATTTTTTAGGAGTAGTTTCACACAAGCCTGGGCCTGGAAACCAGCATTCTCCAGGAACTCCAGGAATCCCTAAGAAAGTCTTCAATCGGGCCCGGCGTGTGGTTAAGGTCCTCACCTTGCAAGCCCGGGATCCTATTTGGGCGCCGGTTCTAATCTCAGCAGCCCCACTTCCCATCCAGTTCCCTGCCTGTGGCCTGGGAAAGCAGCCAAGTTTGGCCCAAAGGTTTGGGACCCTGCACCCGCTTCAGAGGCCCAGAAGAGGATCCTGGCTTCGGATTGGCTCAGCTCCAGCCTTGCGGCTGCTTGGGGAGTAAATCATCGGACGGAAGTTCTTCCTCTCTGTCTCTCCTCTCTGTATATCCACCTTTCCAATAAAAATTAAAAATAAATCTTAAAAAAAAAAAAAAAAGAAAGAAAAGAAAGTCTTCAATGCACTGCAATACACCAGCATCCCAAGTCCTGAACGAAGCTATCTGTGCTTCCTCACCATATAATCATGGAGACCAACACTGTGTTGGGGTTGGCCAGTCATCTGTGTTTCATTTGAAGAGAAGAGAAGAGAAGAGAAAAGAGAAGAGAAGAGGAGAGGAGAGGAGAGGAGAGGAAAGGAGAGGAGAGGAGAGGAGAGGAGAGGAGAGGAGAGGAGAGGAGAGGAGAGGAGAGGAGAGGAGAGGAGAGGAGAGGAGAGGAGAGGAGAGGAGAGGCCCTCCCATCCAGCTCCCTGTTTGTGGCCTGGAAAAGCAGTTGAAGATGTCCTGAAACCTGGGACCCTGTACCCATGTGGGAGACCAGGAAGAAGCTCCTGGCTCCTACCTTCGGATTGGCTCAGCTCTGGCCATTACAAGCACTTGGGGAATGAATCTGTGAACAGAAGATCTTCCTCTCTGTCTCTCCTCCTCTATGTATATCTATCTGACTTTCCAATAAAACCAAATAAATCTTTTTAAAAAGGAAAGGAAGGAAGAATTGAAGGAAGAAGAAAAGAATGAAAGGAAGAAAGAAAATGGAGAGGGATCATTTACCTGTATTTTATAGTACAAAAATAACTTCAAAGTTCTGGCATGATGCAATGATTGAACCATTTGTCATTTGCTGCTGAAGCCCACCGAATTCAGTCAGTCATGTCTTCGATGTCCAGTGCCTGTGATTCAATTCTGTTGCATCTGGACAGTTTCCATTTGTTCAATCACAAATCAGTCCAGATTCATCTCAAACACATGGGAGCCTTTACTCCAACATTTAAACCTTAACAACTTAAGAGGAGGAACACGAAGATATCCCATTTGCAATTCTACAGTGGATTTTTTTTTTCAGTGTAATCTCCTTCCCAAAAAACTATCACTCTTTGCAGAAATCTTCCAAGCTTGGCCTTGGTTTTAAGTAAGATTTCCCTTTTCAAGTATTGGAAGCGAGCCCCTTGCCATTTGCAAGTGGAAACAGTTTGCCCTTTAAAAGCCCTTAGGGATCATAATACATGTGTACATATGTCATGTAGAATGTATTCACCTTTACATTTGCTTTGCAGGGATTATTATTAATGGCTCATTTTAGCATGAGTCATATTAATAAGAAGTGGGCAAGCATGAGTCATATTAACAAGGCAGGCTTATCTGAACACTGCACTGGAGCGGGTCTGCCAGGGTGGGTGTGTGCCAGCACAGAGAGTCTGAAGATGAAAGAGACTGTTAAGGAGGGGTGGACCTTGTGGGGCTGGTTCTAGGACCCCCATCCCTTTGTTCCCTATCTGGAAGATGAGACTCTGCTCAGGGTTATTGGAGTTAGAGTTCAAAATCTGCTGTTTTACACCATTTTATAGTCATCCAAGCATGTTGCTATAAAGAGCCTGATTCTAAGCTTAGAAAGTAATGGAAACTCTTAATTGCCCTTACCACATAGTCATGTAGTAGTGAAAACAGACATTTCCCCCCTCTTCCTCATACACACATTTGTTGGGAAGGGAACTTCTACATCATCGCTGTTTAATGTGGGTCTGTGACAGACCAGTCACAAGATCAGTGTGCTTTGGCCTGGAAAGCCACATCAGGAGCAGCAGCTGTGGGAATCAATCAATCAACAGGGCGGATCTCATTACAAATCATTTTACCCAAAGGGAATTTGAAAACAAGACTTTCCAAAAATAATTGGTTTTGCATGATTTGATCAGTGTCTCCTAGGCGCTACTTAAGGTTCTGAGGGCCTAGCAATGAGGGAGACACAATCTCACACACGTAAGAACATAGATGCTATGAGCAAACACGGGGTTCACTCTTGAGTAAGAAGAAAAGGGCCGCCTACTGGACAAGGTGATGAAGGCACATGAATTTGTAAACACCTACAGTTTGAGAACTGTGTTTATTAGTTTCATTTCTCATTCAGCAATGGTTGGCTCCTTACCAGTCATAGAGTTAAGGGAAAAAAATGTATGAAGCTCATAGGAATATTTCTTAGGCTTATGGCCACAAATAATTTGCACTCGTCAATGTGCCTCCAATCAAGAGGTAACAAGTGGTGAAGGATAAGTAGAATTAGGAAGTGCCATGAGAAATGTATGATGCAGCAAGTAGGAACATACAAGGACACAGTTCCAGAAGACATCAAAGCGAGAAAGCACTGTTACAAGGGCAAGAAGCCAAGCAAATCCCTTGGGAAGGGCGACTACTGCTCCCACAGGCTCCCTGTCCTTGGAGGCTTAGCTGTCCTAACTGAATTCCATCATCTGCCACCCTCTACCACCAGTTCCTGGAGACAGGATCATTTCCATGTCCCCATGAAGCAGGCAATACCCTTAAAATGACTGGAAGTTTCCCTAACAAAAGACATCAGCTTTCATGAATTCTGCATTCGAGGCTGGTGCATCGTTGGGAAAAAGCAGACTTGCCCTTATTGCAAAGAGAAGGTTGATTTGAAGAGGATGATAAGTAACCCGTATCCTTTTTGAAAAGTTATGAAATATTATCTTAAGTGTTTCTAGGGGTGCATTCTTCAATCCATATTCAACAAATATATTAATTTTGAAGAGTGGCAACAATTTCAAACCACCTATTCAAAATGCCTTTAGATATCTTTCCTTCTATGTCTGTGTTACCATCCCAGTGTGCAAGTTAAATGCCAACAAGAATTCCCCTGCTCGTGTTCCATAGTTTCTATATTAAGGGCATTGATGGAAATGTGATGGAACATTACGAAAGATAGCTTCAAAGGCAAAGCAATTATTAACATGGATGAATGGACATTAAAATGCAAAGAGGTAATTAGGATGGATGAGTGAATGTTAAAAATATGGAGGCATAATTAGGATGGATGACTGGACCAGTGGTTAGATTGTTAGACTGGATGAGTGGAAAGCAGGTGGACAGACACATTGGATTGAAATTGTGAAAGTCTGAAATGTGGAGTAGGGCATACAAAGAAGAGTATTTTTAAAGTTGTTCCAAATGTTTTCAAATTCCTGGCTTTGCCTCACCCCTTTAGGCTGCACCTTACTGGCAATGATGTGGAGAAGTAAAGACCCCCCAGACCTGGGCAGCTGATGGCAGTCACTAGGCTTTGCCAAGGCACCAGGGATGCTTGACTGAAGAAAAAACAAGTTTCACTGAGGTCATGGGGAAGGTAATGACCCCCATTCAGAACCGACCACAAAGGCTTAGTCTTGGCTCAAAGATCATGGTCTATCTCTTCCGGGGGTAATGGCATAAATGGTAGCACATGCCCCTTAAACAGATGAGACCAGAGAGGTAGAGATCAACTGGTCAAGTACTTTCTTCTTCTTCTCCTTGTCCTTCTCCTCCTTCTCCTCCTCCTTTCTTCCCCCTTCCCCTCCCCTCTTTCTCCTCCCCCCTCCTCCTCTTCCTCCTCCTCCTCCTTTTTCTTCTTGGCAGCCTTTGGAGTAACAGGCAGCTATGCTTTGCAGGACTAAAGGGATCCTGGCCCCTGGGGCCCCCTGGATCCCTTACTCCTCACCAACTCCAAAGCTGCAGAGGCTCCTGGGAACAAGGTCCCCATCTCTGAGCTCTGAAAATCAAGGAGGGATGTTCCAAGAGGGAATCAGAGAGGGAAGCACCATCAGTAGCTCTCTGGATGTCAGAGTGGTGTCATGGCAACAGAGACGCCTACTGCCCCAACCTGCCCAACCCCAGCCTGGACCTCCTGGCAAGTCAGTGCCTGAACGCCAAGCTGCGGGGGACTCCCTCTCCCCTCCTCCTTTCTTTTACCCACAGTCCCTGCATTCCCTTTCTTCTAGGAGGAGGGGATTTTGTACTGATGAAGCTGCAGTCCCTACATGTTTGATATAGATTAGTAAGAAGATGAAAATAGATGTCACCTTTAATGATGGTTTAAATAACAAAGGGCAATTCATTTTGCATTATAGCCTTGAGAGTCTAAACTGTTGAATGCTACATGTTTTCAAAAGGGCTACACTAGCCGATCTGTTCATGAAAATAACTATTAATTCTGCTAATGAAAAATTAAGCCACGTGCATAAAAAGCATGATTTGTCAAGAAAATTTACATATTTTGTTAAGGGGAATTTTTAAGTTTTCATCTTTACGTTCATCTACTTAAAAGGCAGAGCAACAAAGAGAGAATGAAGGAGGTGAGCAGGGGGGATGGAGAGAAAGGTCTTCTTTCCAATGGCTCACTGCCCAAATGCCCTTAAAAAACCAGGACTGAGCTAGAGCAAACCAACAAGCCCAGAACTCAGTCTGGGTCTCACACGTGAGTGGCAATTGAATCACCAGCTTCTGCCAGCCAGGATACACAGGCAGGAGGCTGGTTCAGAAGCAGCACTCAGCATGACATGGCATGCAGGTGTCCCAGAAGGTGACTTAACTCACTGGGCCACAAGACCAGCTCCACCTGTTCTAACAAAAAACTACTATTTCACTGAATGTGAAAAACTGTTCTTTCATGTGTAAAATTACCATCAGTTCCCTGAACACAATTTATCAAAGAGTACAACAAGATGGAGAGAGGGGATGTCTTCTGGAATGTACTAGCGTCATTCTTTTAAAAAAAGGAACATCATCATCTCTGATGTGCTGACCACAGGCAAATTCAGAGCTAAGCTTCTGCTCCCCTAACAACAGTGTCCACTAACCTTAGTTTCCTCGCTTCCTCCTTTTCTTGCCTTTAATTTTATTTTAACAATTTTGGTTTTGAGAAATTGGGTGTGGTATAAGTAGCAATGACAATGGTATAAAAATCATGCAAGGGACTTTTAATTCGCATACAGAATCATCGAGAAATGATATGTCCACATATTGAATTGCCAATTGTATTTACCAATGAACATATTGCTACTTGGCTGTACAAATCACAACCTCCTTAACTGAGCCTTAGCTGGGAGCGCACCCATTTTCTCTATGGACAAATCCTGGATTGGCTTCGCTATTTGGTGGCCTGGCAACCTGTGGTAATAGGAATAGTTCAAGGCATAAACTATTCTCTAGGGCTGCAGTAGAGCAGCCCGTGTACGCCTGAAGCCATCTCCTGCATAGGGCAAGATTTTTGGACCCTAGGCCTTCTATTTAATATTGATATCCTTTTTTAATTTTGTAAGAGTTTTAAAAACTAAAATCCAATATCACACGTAAAATGATCTCTGTGGAAAGAACTCATTAAAGTGTGTTTTCTTCTTTCCCATTGCCATCATCTTCTAACCCACACATGCAATACATTTATTACATTCTTCTCCAGACATTTGACCTCCAATATGATTAATTATTATCCCATCTGTACAGTGTCAAGGATTGCAAACACACACAGCATTTAGTTACAATGGCTACCAGCTCGTCAGTCTCTTCATAGTATGGTGTTGTTCAGTACTATGGTTTGGGGCCAGTGTTGTGGCACTGCAGGTAAAGCCACCACATGTGACACCAGAATCTCATGTGGAGACCAGTTTGAGTCCCACATGCACCAGTTCTGATCCAGATGCATGCTAATGGCCTGCGAAATGGAGCAGAAAATGGTCCAAGAGCTTGGGCCCCTGCCACCTACATAGGGGGGCTGGGACGAAGTCCCTGGCCTTGGCTTGGCCTAAGCCCCACTGTAGTGGCCATCTGGAGAATGAACCAGCAGAGGGAAGACTTCCACCTTTCTCTCTATTACGCTTTCAAACCAATAAATATTTTCTGTTTTCTTAATTTTTAAAAAAATATTGATTTTATGTTTATTAGAATGGCAAATATTACAGAGAGAAGGAAGGAGAAAGAAAGATTTTCTGCAGCTGCTGGTTCACTCCCCAAGTGGTCTCAACGGCCAGAGCTGAGGTGAGCTGAAGCCAGGAGCCAGGCGCTTCTTCTAGGTCTCCCATGTAGGTGTAGGGTCCCAAGGCTTTGGGCCATGCTTCACTGCTTTCCCAGATCACAAGCAGGGAGCTGGATGGGAAGTGGAATAGCCAGGACATAAACTGATGCCCATATGGGATCCTGGTACATGCAGGGTGATGATTTAGCCACTAGGCTACTGCACCCTGTTTTCTTAATTTTTAAATTTTAATTCGTAATTAGTTTTTAACAGATTGAGTGTGATTTGCAAGTAGAATCCTAAGAACACGATGGTTTCTGGCCACTGCCTTTTTCTGCTCTGTGTGCAGCTTTGTGAACAGAGAAGGGCTTGCTCTCAGAGCTCTGGCCCAGGAGCCATGCCTCCTCATTGGGCCACTGCTGAGTGTGCCAAACCCACCCAAGGAATACACAAGTGGAAGGACTATCTCCCTTCTCTTGTGCCAGTTGGTTCATACCCACACAGGTGCACAGATGTGTTCCCCATCCATACAAAGACATGCATGTTCTCTTACACTCCACTGCTCTTACCAATATCTAAAGCCACATCAAGTTTATTGTAGGTTTGTCTTCCACTCCATGAAAGCAAGGCATTTTATCTGTCGAGTTTCCCCACTATATGCCCAATAAAGCCACATCCAGCATAGCACCCAATAAGTATCTGTTGAAAGAATAAATGTTATCTGGCAGGAGAGAACAAATTAAACTGAAGACAAAGAAGACAACCAGAAAGAATTAACCCAAGAATGATATGTGGCACCCCAAATTAACTCATTTTAAGATACTAGCTGTATTGTTAAATAGTCTTGTTAAACAGCACATATGGCACACTACGTGTTACTCTAAAATACTGCAAGCTGCTGCACATTATAGGAAATGGAAAAGAAATACAGTGATTGTGATTTTGCTTACCCAAATATTGGTGGTGTGCTTAAGCTAGTTAAAATAGCACCAATCAAAATCATGCATGCAAGTTTTGACCTGTTGGGAACTTTCCTTTTCTGTGCAGCCCAGGGCTGCCATATCATGATAAATCTATCCTTTGGATTATTAGCTTTAATTCTGGCTCAGTTCTCTTGGCAGCAAAGAATTGCACAAGTCAATACTTAAATACTAAGCATGTAAAAGGGATTAAGCAATAAAGCATGATCCTTGAATTTATAATACACTTACAAATAAAAAGATTTTAAAAAGCACACTAAAGGAATCCCTTCCATTGCTCTTGGGGGCACGCACCCTGTGCTTCTCTTGTGGGAGCTGCCTGAGGGCCGTGTGTGCAGTGCTTTGGAACTCTCGACAGATGAGCCAGGCCCACCTGCATGGAAGACCGATTGGCCCTCAGACATGTCAATCAGCACTACAGAATCTCGGCGGGAAATGGAGATGCTGTCTTTTTTCTGTGATTTAAGTCCTTACACTCTAATTCCAGTTTGGCAAAGAACTAGGCATATGTGCACCAAGAAAAGACTGTGCAGCAAGTTCACCAAGAATGATCCCAAAGTCATGGGAGAAGACCTGACTCTTACTTTTTTTCATAAACTGTTACCAAAAATTTTCTGATGCTTCTACAATGAACATATCTAACATTTGCCATGAGTACAATAAACACTATTTTAAAAGATTAAAACTAGCAATTATGAGGTTATTATTGCTGTTTAAATTCCTGAATGATTTAGATTAAGCCAACATTAAATCTGGTTCTCTCTCTCTGAAGATTCATGTATTTATTTATTCATTCATTCATTTGAAAGGTAGTTACAGAGAAAAAAAAAAAGAGAGATTGGTCTTCTATCTGCTGATTCATCCCCTAAATATGGCCAGGGCCAGGTTAAAGCCAGAAGCTCGGAATTCCACCCTGGTCTTCCACAGAGGTGGCAGAGCCCAAGCCCTGAGGTCATCAACTGCTGGTTTTCCAGGATCCTTAATAAAAGACTGGATCAGAAACCCAGTGCCAGGATTCAAATTGGCACTCTGCTATGGAACTCAGCACACACAGTGGCTTAACTCACTGTATCACAGCACCAGCCCCCACCTGATTTCTCTTGCTACTCCACAGGTTGCCTACCATAGGAAATATAGAAGAGAGCACAGTCGCCACTGACGCAGTGGTAGCTTAACAGGGCCTCCTTCAGAACCCACTATTTCACCCCAGCACCCTCCTGGGAGTCCGTATGAGAAACAGCAGCTCTGGTTGAGTCCACATGGCCTGCAGCCTGTTAGGCACTTAATGAACTGATTTATCTGTCGATCTTTCCTCAAACAGTAGAATCCCTTATAGCCGTGCTTAGACCCATGACAGAAAAATAACCATTTCCAAGCAATAAGATATAAGGTAGAACATTTACTGGAAAATAATAACCATTTAGAAGCAATACTATGTAAGGGAGAAAAGACTTATAGGAAAAGAAGAGCAGTAGCTAGCACCTCCTGCAGTCCCTCTTCATACCCCACCCAGACACCTGCGCGTCCCAGGTTCAGTGAGGAGCTTTGTCATGCTCGCCCCTTCAGAGGGGTGCTAACCAAGGGTAGTACACTCTGGGGTTTGCTTATAATACTGCAAACCCTCAGCCCCCAAGGATGGTGAGACAATTATCCCTACCGCAAGATCAGGAAAACATTTGGGGTCAGGTCCAACATCATGGCCAAAATTCCCAATCTACTAAGATAGGTCTTTCCAACCCCAGAGTCCATTCGGCCACAGAAACCCCATCTTGGTTGATATAGAGGCTCGCTTCCTTGCACAGTGGTTCCCAGAGTCAGGAGAAAGGCACATAGAACACTAGGTGGCTCTTAGCAAAGAATGATACGCTGACATTTATGGTGTTTAAATCTTGATGACCAGCATTAACACATGCTAGTGGTATCTATCTTTAAATTCTCTTGTATTGGACTATTTTGAGACATTAAACTTTTAAAAATTTTTAGAAGGAAAAGCAAGGAAGACTTTTTCTGGAGTTAGAAATTTTTTTTTCCCAAAGATGAAAAAATAAATAAATAAAACAACTAATGTCAGGATGAATGACCAAAAGTAACTAGACACCAATTAGAATTGAAGCAGGTGCTGAAGACGTAAAGCAGCGTGTGGAAGACTGTTTCCCAGGTCTCCCAAACTCAGTATTCCATTGACTGTCACAGCTTTGTTCTCATGGGAAAACACAATTTAGTGTTCTTTGTCTTCCATGTCCTCTCCCGAGTGACTTTGGCTGAGGAAATCTGTTAGAGAGCCAGCCAGACCCTGGTTCCCACAAAGGTACCCCCTTTGGCATTCTGTTTCCTTTCAAGATTAATGGGGATCCACAGTTCTTGGTTTCCAAGATGGCATAGCAAGTTTTACTGAATGTCCCCAAAGCTTTCCCTCGGTGCTCTTGAGAGCAAATACAGGGAGAGGTGATGATGCTTGGATGAGGCAGAGCTCACTCTGTGGTTACCAGCGAGTCTCCTTACAGAAGGCTAACTGACCTGACCCAGTTATTTGAAAAATTCAGTCCATTTGCATTCATTCCCAAAGAAGGGAGCATTTACTTTGTTTCATTCAGATATAAATAATGGACCTCAGATCATGATCATCTTGTAGACCCACCATTCCGGATCTGCTGTTTTTGTACAAGGTCACATCTTAACAGTTTCAACAGTTGTAGTAAGCCAGTCATCAAATGAAAGTGCATTCACATGATTATCATATAATTGTTAAGCCCATCATAACTTGGCCTGTAAGGACCACAACTAAGATCAAGTTTGGCTTTGGCATAGGAACCTAGGACTTGATGGCAGCCCTCAAGTTCACCCAGAACATGGCGTGCTGATCCTCCTCGGAGGGCCACTCCAGGTATGTCCTGGTGTTCATGATCTTGCGCAGCTTGCAGAAGCGCTGGGGGATGGCCTTTTTCTCAATGGGTTCCAGGAGAATAAGAATGGCAGAGTCATTGTTCTCATCAAAGAGGCGGAAATGCGAGAAGTCCAGCTCGTACTTGCACCACTCACTCTGCACAAAGTTCTCTGACAGCACAAAGACAGTCTTGTGACTCTTCTCAATAGAGTCGATGATGTTGTCGATGATCCACTTGCCAGGAACAAAGTCTCGCTTGTGAAGACACAGCCTGAATGGGGGGTTGAAGTTCTCCAGCTCCTGGACCAGAAGGTTCTCCACCCAGTAGGAATCCTGCTCACTGTAGGACACAAATGCATCATAGCAGATGTCCCTGCTGGGAGCTTTCTTGGGCTTCCTTTTGGCCTGCAACCAGGCCCACATCATCTTGAGGTACCACAGTCCGTGCAAACGGTGGCATAGGACCCCTGTGAGCAGCATCAACAAGATGAGGGCACAGCACACGCCAGACACTACAGCTGCCTTGTGACACTCAATCACCGACAAGCGCACGTCTTGCACCCTCTGGCCACGCACGTGGGATGGCGAATCACACAGGTAACCCTCTGGCCAGTCTGTCAGGACCTTGGCCAGTGCTTTCTGCTCCTGCATGAAAGACAGGAACTCGCAGGAGCAGATGAAGTTGTTGCCTCCAGCTTCCAGAGTCTTGAGCTGCTGAAAGGCCTCTACTTGCTCCTTTGAAAAGGTGTTGATTGTGTTCCTGCTTATCTTCAGCACTAGTAGCATGGGTAAGGAGGCAGCCCCTGGCAGAGTCTTCAGCATATTTCTGCAAATGTACAGTTCTTGCAGCTTTGGCAAAGTCAATGAGAACGAATTGAGGTTGTTGTTACTGACATCCAACACTTGCAGTGTCTGCGGAATGCAGGAGGTTAGACTGTGAATCTGCGTGCTGGATAAGTTCAGACGGGCCAACTTCTCGGGCCACTGACAGGTGTCAGGCATAGCGTGGAAACCGTTCCTACTGATGTCGAGGTCAGTCAGGTTCTTCAGCGTCAGCAGAATCTCTCCAGTTCTTTCCAACGAAGTCAAATGGTTTTGCCTTAAAATCAACGTGTGTAGGGAGGGCCAGGCATTCTCACAGGCTGAATTTTTCAAGTATTCCTCAACCATCAAATTCTCACCAAGATCCAAGTATTCTAATGATCTCAAATGTTGGGAAAATGAACAGGGCACCAGGAAAACCTTGCTGTTTTCTACTGTGATTTTCTTAAGTCTTTCTGTGAGGGAATAGATAGTATGCATATCATAAAATAAGTAGAACTTGGGGATATGCAGGCTACGTATCGTTAGTGTTTCCACGTTACCTAGATCTTGAATTGTGTCTTTATCAACCATCTGAAAGTCACCAATTCCATTCAGGGTACAGTCATCAAACTCTAATTCTAATAATCCAGTAGTGTAAGTCAATAGTTTCAGTACCTCATTACTGCTCTCGTCGGTGATCTTCACATTTCTGAACGTGAACTTTGTGATCCGGGGATTCAGTTCAGTGACAGTTAGCCCCGAGAAACGGAAATAGTTCAGATCGGTCTCTCTCAGCTCCAGGTGGACCACAGAACTCAAGAGGTCTGGGAAGATGTCCAACAGCAAAGTCGGCTGTCTCATATTCAGGATCAGGTGACTGATGTTCTGAATGGACCTCAGGCCCTCAGGCTCGTAATCCTGGAGGTTGGAGGCATCAACCTCCAATTCCTCCAGGAAGCTGAGGCCAGCAAAATCCTTCCTCTGAATCTTCATGAAGGTGTTTGGGTTTCCTATGCGAAGGATTCGCAAACATGCAAGGGGAGAAAACAGAGGCATCTCCCCCAGGGTTCTGTAAGGGTTTCCCAGTAAGTTTAAGAATTTCAGAGAAGAAAGAGGCCTGAACCAGGCAGCTGACAAATTAGATAGAAGATTACTGGCTAAGTCCAAGTGCTCAAGGCTGCTCAAGGAGGAGAAAGAATCTTCGTCGATCATGTGAATTCTATTGGACGTCAGCCTCAGAGCTCTCAGCTGCACACACTTTTGCAGATCACTGTGGCCAATAGAGGTGATCTCATTGTTGGACAGGTCAAGGCTTTTCATGGTTCCCACAAGTCCTGATGGAATAGACTGGAAAGATCTGGAGCGCCCATCACAGATGCCAGCAGGGTCGCAAGAGAGGAGATCTGAAGACCCTTCCTTGGAGGAGCTGACAATGGCCCCCAGGGCCAACGCTGTCCACAAAGCAAGTGGCATTGCCCAAATGATACGACCTACAAGTGAAAGAGGTACAGATAAGCAGCTGCGGTTAACAACGTGATTAACCCTGATTCCTGAGCAGTGCTGTTAGGGGCTTTAACAGACATGTCGCCAAACTAACAGGCAAGGGGATTAAAAAAAAATGAGCTCTCAGACACATCCAGCAACGCCAACAAGGATGTTTGATTTGCATGAAGTGATTTCAAAACACAACTATCTGAAACTTAAGACATGGGTGGGGAGAACAAGTAGCTGGCAAGGCAGAAACGAAGCACACAGCATAAGGAATGAGCTAGACTTAACCATATGGATTACCAATCACCTCTTCCTGCACACAACCCTTCTTGTAGGTAAGCTTACCTCTTCGCTTTCGATGCATGGCGATCTTGCAGAATCACTTCCCAGCTCTCCAAAGACACTACTGGCTGAGTGAAGTCCCTGCCCAGTACCAACCCTGCCTGGTACCTACAGCTAACAAGCAGGAAGAGTGTTGGAACCCCAGGCAGAACAAGGTAGCTTTCTGGGTTGGCAGACACTCTGCTCCACAGACTCTATCTTTCTGCAGAGAGGTGTTCAAATTGCCTTGGACTGTTCAGACGAACGGGGAGAAACGCAGCTGCCTGCACCACAACCGTGCACCCACCTCCACGCCCTGCATCCAATGCTCCTCCTTCACCCCTTGCCTTTGCAGGCTTTCGCCTGTATGTGCTCAAGTGACTAACCCTGCCAACACCATCTAAACTATTTAGCTGTAAGAGCGAAGCTCTTTATGGGTGGAACTAGTTTTGCACAGGCCAAGATTCTGAAAGATTCCCAAGGCCTAGGCTATATCATGTATAGCGCCCCCCTCCAGATAAGGAAAAACAAAGAATTAAAACCTAAGCATGTCTAGGTAGGGCGTTTAATTACTCCTAGGGTCAAATGCTGATGCCCACACCAGTCTACTGCTGCACTTGTCTGCTTTGCTTTTTAAGTGGGTCATGCATATCCATTCTGGAATTTCCTTGTTTCCCTGCGTTGATGAGATATGCTTGGTTCTATTTTTTTTAAAAGCCCATGATTACTGTAAAAAATTTTTGGTGCATTTGGACATAAAGTGTGCCCTGCTGGTGCCATTGCCATAAGCCCCATCTTAGCTTGTCTCCATTCTGCCTTTTTGAATGCAACCCGCATGTGCTAGTCCACTGGGGCTGCTACAACACAGGCCTCCCCCCGCCCCCCCCCCGAGTTGCTCACTATGCCCCATCTCCGAGGGGGCATAGCATGCTATAGTAAAGGTCCCCACTCCCTGCCTTCTTTCACATTGGCAGGTGACTTTCAGCCTTAATGTTTCCTATTAACTTAATTATAAATAAAATAGATACCCCAAAAAGTAGCTTAAATGCTTCTAAAAGGTACTGGTTAACTATTGGAAAGTTTTGTAAAAGCTTAAAAATGTAAATGTTCTTTGCTTGGAATAGGAAAAACCTAACATAGTAACAAATAAGTCATTTTTCCAATCGTCATGGTATTTGTTTTATTTCCTCCCAAGTCTGGTCACCCTAACTTCCCTTTGATCTTTAGTCAAGGCTGAGGGAGATCCAAGTCCCATCTGCGGAGGTGTGCTCTGGGGCAGCTCTCAAAGAGGATGGGCGATCCGCGTGTCACACAGCATTAAGCCGTCCATCTCAACCCTGATCCCATAGGGGCTCTGGTTAAAGTCTCCACTACTTCCTTTCTGAGCCAGCTACGTGCTGACACTCTAGGACAACCAGGACGGCCCGAGTGCTTGGTGGGGGAGACCAGAAGAAGTTCCAGGTTCATGACCAAAAATAAATAAATAAGTAAATAAATCAACGAAGGTTGAGACACCTACAGCCCTGTCTTAGGGTGCCTGGCTTTCAGTTGGCTCTGCTTTTGGTCCCAGTTTCCTGGCAAGAGACACGCTGGGAGGCAGCAGATGGCGGCTCAAGGAGTTGGCTTCCTGCCATCCATCAGGAATCCCTGGATTGCCCAGCTTGTGGGCATGAAGCAACTCATAGAAGCTGTTTTCTCTGCCTCTCAAATTAAAAAAGGAAGAAGAAGAAGAAGAAAAAAAAAAAATCTCAGAGGCCTGAGTTGTTTACAACCGGAACACTTTCTCTTTGAAAAAGGAAAAACACTTCCCTGACCTGCACCTAAGCACTAAACACCACATTCTCATTTGCGGACGCGCAGAAGTTACACAAGGGGGATTTCCAAGCAGTCCGATTTCAAGAGCTGGACTGTGCTGACATGCTCTCAAAAATGCCCTAGGCGGGGACCCAGGCAACGTTCCGAGGAAAGAAATCAGACCCGGAGTCTGGAAGCTTTCCCGCTGGGGAGGAACTAACCGCCCCTGCTCGGGCCGCAGGGCCACCCGGTGGGCTCGGCAGAAGCGCCCAAAGCGACCATTCCACCCCCGGGATCCCAGCGGGGACTCGTGGCCCCACTACGCTCGTGGAAATCGGGCCGCGAAGGCTCTGTCCCCGGGCTGAGTGGGCGAGCATCTCTGCCGCGCCGCTTCCTTTCCCGGAGGGCTGACCCCAGCCGGACCGGGTCTTGAATTCGGCCGTCCCCGTCGCCCCGCGGCTACGTGAGGAAAGCAGGCGCCCGGTTGCGGTTGCCCCCGCCGCCGAGTGCGTGACCCGGCCCGGGAACCGGGATGCAGAGCCCGGCGGCGCGCGCGCCGGTCCCCACGACGTACCTGGGGACTGCGCAGAACAGCTGCAGCCTGGGGGCCGGCCCTCCCTGGCTCAGGGCTCGCAGCGAAGCGGGGTGCTCCGCGCGGCGGAGCCCTCTCCTTCTGGCGCTCTGGGTCCCCGGGGTGCGCGCCGTGGTGCCCGGCCTCCGCCCACGCGCCCCGGTGCCGCTGACCCAGCCCTCCCCGGAGCCGCCCCTGCGGGAGGGCTCGTCAGATGATAGGTGACCCCGCCCCCGGAGGTGCTTTGACCCCTGCCCGGTGCCAAGCCGGGGCGGAGGAGGGTGCTGCGTGCTTGGTGGGGGCGTGCCGGCAAGGAAAAGAGAACCGAAATAGGAGAGGCCCCGTGTGGGATTTCCCAGGGCAATGTAGTGGGGTTCAGTGCCCAAAACGGCTTTGGGTCATTCAGAGCCTCATACATCACCTGCCAGTCCTCATTTCCACTCCAGAGTTTTTTCCATGCTTGGAAGCTCCCATCCAAGTTTTAGGATTGAGCTTCTCTCACGCGTGCCCCTGGTTTATCCAGGATTTATCTCCATCCCCCCAAATTTGAGACTGGAAGTAACTTTCACCCACCACTGTCCAGAGCAATACAGCAAGACTTTGCCTGAGAAAAGATCAACAGCCCCACAATCCCACCCTTACATGTCCCATACTATCGTAGCCTGGGTGCACCACAGGGCTCCAACAGGCTTTGTTTTTGTTTTTTGTTTTTTTTTTTGTTTTTTTTTTTTAAAGATTTATTTTTATTATTTTTTATTGGAAAGGCGGATATACAGAGAGGAGAGACAGAGAGGAAGATCTTCCGTCCGATGATTCACTCCCCAAGTGAGCGCAACGGGCCGATACTATGCCGATCCGAAGCCAGGAGCCTCTTCCGGGTCTCCCACGCGGGTGCAGGTTCCCAAAGCTTTGGGCCGTCCTCGACTGCTTTCCCGGGCCACAGGCAGGGAGCTGGAAGGGAAGCGAGGCTGCCGGAATTAGAACCGGCGCCCATATGGGATCCCGGGCGTGCAAGGCGAGGACTTAACCACTTGCGCCACCGCGCCGGGCCCTCCAACAGGCTTTGTTAACTGTCACACATCAGCTGAAGTCAAGGAGATGAAAAGAAACGCTCTTACATCGCTGGAGTAATTGCACTTGATCTTCACAAATTGAGATCCGGAGCCCAGCAGGTCTCCTGCTTCTCTTTCACGCAGAGCCCGGAGGACGGACCAGAGCTGAAACCAGAATGCTGCCCTAACCGGGGGTTCTTTCTCCTACGTTGTTTCACATCCCCAGTTCTTTCGACTCATTCAGGCGTTCCCTCGCAGGGGCTGGTCATTGACTTTGCTGCAAACACACTGATGACAGATCTATGGAGGAAAAGCCTACAGATTATCAGAGCGACTGTGTTTGCCCAGGCGACCCCAGGCACAAAGCGACCGATTCAAAGACGACCCGCGTCTTGGGGCTTAATTTCCTAGTGGAGGACGGAGGCGGAAGCGGGCAGCTACAAGCAATTTGAGAAGGGTGGTAAATGACTTTCGGAGGGAGAACGAGAGAAAACGAGCCCGGGAACAGAAGTGCCTCTGGGCTGCAGGTGTGGCAATTGGCGTTCAGCCCCCCTGGTGAGCTGAGAGAAACCTCTGGTTTGTGCCGCTTCAGGAGGAAGATTCGAAGACAACTCCGCTCCCCTCTGGCAGATCATGTATGTATATATTTTTTTCACCTGAATCTCACCCAAAAATGCATGAATAATAGTTCCCATATTATCACCCCTTCTGTTCAAGTGGTCAGAGAATTTGCCAGAGCCACCAGCTAAGAGCTGACAAGTTTCCACATTTCTATCTAGTCTTCCGCTTGCTATTAGACCCTCTACAACTCTCTACTCACCACCACCCACATCCTCCTACCCGCCACCCCCACAAAGTCAGTTAGAAAATGAACAGACTATGAAAACGTGTTTAGAAAGAAAGGGAAGGCTCAGGATACAGGCTCACGTGTTGCCTGGTGGCCAGAATGTTTTCTGAGAGGGGCACAGGTGGATGGTGCTGGTGCTGCGTGAACCTCAGAGAGAGATGGTTTAGCGACACCTAACCAAAGAGTCTTACTTTGACCATCTAATTCCTGTACTTCTAAAGGAAATAAGGGGAGAGAGGAACACACCCTGTGCCTTTTCACATATTTTGTAAGTTAAACACATCCATCAGGAAGCACGTAAAGAAAGTCAGTCATGGGCCTGGTGGCGTGGCCTAGCGGCTAAAGTCCTCACCTTGAAGCACCCAGGATCCCATATGGGCGCCAGTTCTAATCCCGGCAGCTCCACTTCCCTTCCAGCTCCCTGCCTGTGGCCCGGGAAAGCAGTCGAGGACAGCCGAAAGCTTTGGGACCCTGCACCCACGTGGGAGACCCGGAAGAAGTTCCTGGCTCCTGGCTTCGGATCGGCATAGCATCGGCTGTTGCACTCACTTGGGGAATGAATCATCGGACGGAAGATCTTCCTCTCTGTCTCTCCTCTCTGTATATGTGACTTTCCAATAAACAAATAAATCTTTAAAAAAGGAAAGGAGAAAGGAAGAAAGAAAGAAAAGGAAGAAAGAAAGAGAAAGAAAGAAAAAGAAAGAAAGAAAGAGAAAGAAAGAAAGAAAGAGAGTCGGTCATCTGCAGATCTCATGGCACCCAGTCTATTCTGGGTCGATTTCATCTGCCAGTTTTGAAAACTGCTGCTCAGTGCTGTTTTTGAAGAAGAACAGGAAACTGCTAGACCTACATGGAACCAAGTTCTGACAGCACAGCATTGCATTCAAGAGAAGGCTTCTTTGGGAAAACAAGAATATTTGCAACTCAGAGCCTGCATGTGGAGAATTGTTAGGGTGAGGCTCAGGTCTCTTCTCATTTCTGTTGTCTTCTCCAGCTGGCAGAGGTGCTGCGGAATGCTGCTACTGGCTGACAGTTTCTCCTCCCACCCCACACCCCATCTCAATGTGGAACTCCCATCACCCCATATGATGGTACTCATGGGAGGCGGGGCATTGGGTCATGAGGGATTAGTCCTTGTGAATGAGATTAGCCCTCTGAAAACAGACCTCGGAGCTGCCTGTCTGGCCTGCCACCATGGGAGGATACAGGAAGAAGGCCATTGTCTAGGAACTAGGAGCCCGTTCCTCACCAACCACTGAAGCCGCCACTGCTTTTCCCTCTCCAGGCTCCAGAATCGTGAGAAATCGGCTCCTGCACTTTACAAGCTGCCAGTCTCCAGAATGGCACCAACAGCTGCACGTCCTACACTACTGGCCGTGGGTGTGAGACCAGCAGCCACTCCCGTAGCTAGCTGTCTAGCCAGAACATCTAAAACCTTGACATGTTGCTCCTAGGAAAAGACAAGGGCTCCCAGGGGCAGATGCTGTGTTATTTTCAGCTTCCCAAGTCTTCAGTTGCTGAAAGCACAATGGAGTTATTCACCAGAGACCGTGTTGTTTTCCTGTTTATTCTCAAAGACAATGAAAGCATCTGGTCCTAACACATATGTGCAAATGGAACTATCTTTTGTTGAGTTCAATCAGAGGTTATAATGCTAACATCTCATCAGCCCAGTGCCTGGGTAACGCTGGCTTGGATTGTGTTATTTCTGTGGCTTTCTTCTTGGGTCTTCCAGGCTTTCTAGCCAGTTGTTATATGTCAGGTAAAAACTGAGTATACATAGACCAAGATCAAGCCTGGTAAGAACAATCAATGTTTTCCAGAACTTGGAGGCTTTTGTAGCCAGCTCTGGGTACACAGGAGTTGCCATGGCATGCTATGAACTGAATGCCTTATTTTTTCTTCAACCATCCAGTTCATTAAGTTCCAGGTATCTTGGTGATTTTATTGGAGAGCTATTTACTGATGAGCTATTGAGCAGATCTTGGCAGTTTGAGCCATGAATTGCTGTAGTTCATGTGAAAGCAAGCATCTCCTTAAAGGTCTGTCATGGAGGAAATTTCCACAGCTAATCCCTGTTGCTGTTAAAGGTCTCTGTGGCCTGATATGTCCCTGAGCCCTCAGCCATCCCCTTCTCCATCTTCCTGAAGTACACAGCCCTCCAGTTCCACTTCCAGCAACTGATCTGCAAATCCCACTTTTAAGTTACTTTAGCTTTCTTTCTCTCCTTTACTTTTTTTTAATTACTGTTATGGAAAAGGTAGATATACCGAGAGGAGGTAAGACAGAAAGAAAGAGCTTCCGTCCAATGATTCAGTCACCAAGTGAATCATCGGCCACAACGGCTGGAGCTGAGCCAATTCAAAGCCAGGAGCAAAGAGCCTCTTTGGGGTCTCCCATGTGGGTGCAGGATCTCAAGGCATTGGGCCATCGTCAGCTGCTTTCCAGGTCACAAGCAGGAGGCTGGATGGGAAGTGGGGCTGCCAGGATTAGAACCGGTGCCCATGTAGAATCCTGGCACATGTAAAGCGAGGGCTTTAACCACTAGGCTACCATGCCAGAGCCCTCCTTTTTTTTTTTTTTTTTTTTAAGATTTAGTTATTTTTATTTGAAAGGCAGATTCACAGAGAGAGAAGGTAAGACAAGAGAGATCCTCCATCTGCTGGTTCATTCCCTAAATGGCTGCAGGAGCCAGAGCTGTGCTTCTTCCAGATTTCCCATGTAGGTGTAGGAGCTGAAGGACTTGGGCCATCTTCCACTGCTTTCCCAGGAATATTAGCAGGGAGCTGAATCAGAAGCACCACAGACAGAGGCCTGAGCTACTTTGCCACGGCACCAGCCCCTATTTCCGCTCTCTTCACACTAGTGTTTTCACAAGGAACCTGGGATTGAAGCCTTCTTCTGCTTCTTTTCATCCCAAGTGAAGAGCTGTGCTTCCCTCTTCCACACACTTGCGCAAACCTGAAAGATGAACCACAACCTTCCAAAGTCAACTGCTTCATTTGTCAGCCCAAACAGTTAACCCACATCTGTGTCAGGCTTCTTGGCTAACATCTCTTGGATTAAAAACATCAACATTAAATTAACCCAGAGTAGAAAGTCTGGGGCCAGTGTGCTGTGGCATAACCGGTAAAGCCACTGCCTGCAATGCCCACATCCCATATTGGCACTGGTTGAAGTCTAGGCTGCTCCATTTCTGATCC